GATAGATAGATAGATAGATAGATAGATAGATAGATAGATAGATAGATGATAGGTACGGAGAGAGAGAGAGAGAGATGATAGATAGATAGACAGCAGTGGTGAAATGCTACCAGTTCGGCCCAGTTCAGCCGAACTGGTAGCAAAAAAAGCCTTCCACGATCAGCTGAGAGATGATGAAGAGAAAAGAGCAGGATTGGCCCTCGCACCCACCCCTGCGCTTTCCTCTCCTTTATCCTCGCAGCTGATTGGCCCTTGTACCCCTCAGCTGGTGTGGGGAAAGCTATGCACGCGTGCCTGTACTCACAAAGTGCGCGATCACCAAACCAGTAGGGAAATTGGTAGAATCCCACCACTGATAGACAGACAGATGTTAGATAGATAGGTAGGTAGGCAGGTAGGTACAGAGAGAAATGATAGATGATAGATAGAAAAATAGGTAGGTAGGTACGGAGAGAGAGAGAGGGAGAGGATAGATATATAGATAGATAGTAGATATATTATAGAGAGATAGAGAAATGGTAGATACAGAAATGTTTTAAATATTGCAGGTAGTCCTCCACTTATGACCACAACTGAACCCCAAAATTTCCATTGCTCAGCGAGGTCCATGGAATCTATTCCATTTTACAATCTCTCTTGCCACCGTTGTTGAGTGAAACGCTGCAATTGTTAAGTCAGCCACGTGGTTATGAAGTGATATCTGGCTTCCCCACGGACTTCACAACAGGTCGCAGAAGGGAAACACCTGACCCCCCTGGGGGAGACATCGCAACCGTCATAAATACGAATCGGCTGCCAAGCGCCCGGATTCTGATCATGTGACCACGGGGATTCGGCAACGGCCGTAATTCTGTGAAAAGCGGCCCCGGGTCTCTTTTTTTTCAATGGCCACGGAACGAATGGTTATCTACACCTGTATTGCAAAATTGGCCCCATTCACACAGCCCACCTAACCCAGACAAGGCCTCCTTAGGCCTCCTCTACAGTCAAAGCCTGGCTAAATTGGGACGCTGCCCAGGGGTGGGTTAGCAGCCCCACTGACCTGATTTGGGGGGCTCCGCCAGCTTCTTGATGGGGGCGTCCTCAGCCACCGGTTCTGCTCCCGGTGTCGTTCCAGCGTTTGCCCGGATCAGCTTTGACGTCAGAGACGAGACCCCCGTCACAGCCCAGCCAGCCCAACTTGCGGCTGAGCCCACCCCGGGACTGATGGAAGCGGCCTGGACATCTTTTTCTAAAGAGAGAGAGAGAGACAGACAGACAGAGACAGAGAGAGAGAAAGGGCAGAGTCAGGAGTGGGATTCAGACGGTTCAGGCCGGTTTGAGCGAACCGGTTGTTAAATTTACATCTGGTTCGCCGAATCGGTAGTTGAACCAACCAGCTGGCCCCGCCCATCCCTCCCAGGAATCTCCGCATGGCCCGTTTTGCATGCAGGTAAGTGCAGGGTCCCCGCAGAGGCTCTGGGAGGGGAAAAAATGGCCCTCCTGTTTCTGGCTTCCGGTGGGCCTCCAGAGCCCAGGGGAGGCCATTTTCGCCCTCCCTGAGGCCCGAGGGAAGCCAAGGTGCCCTTGGAGACATGAAAAACTGCCCTCCCGGAAGTTCTGGTAGGCCACATCCATCATGGCCACACCCACCCAGCAACTGGGCAGCAAACCGGTTCCCTGGGATTTTTGAATCCCACCCCTGGGCCGAGTCCCGGGTTCGAGTCACACTGTTGTAATGCCAGGAAGTGCTTTTTTGAGCAGTAGGTTAGGGATAACAAGAGTTGGAAGGGAAGATCTTCTAGTCCAACCCCCTGTCCAGGCAAGAAGTCCTATACCCTTCCAGACAAAGGGTTGGTCCAGTCTCTTCTTAACCTGGGTTTATGTGGGAATCTTCCAATCTGGCTTTCCTAGGCTGAACCAATTAGCTTTAGTAAAAGTAAACGCCTTCCGCTGCAAATGGGAGTCGAGGGTCTTTCTTCCCTAAATGTCCAAACTGCGACAGGCCTGACACTGGTGGGGGGGGGGAATCTCCTACTAGATTACAGGGCTCTGCAAATGTGGCAATTTTAAGACATGTGGACTTCAACTCCCAGAATTCCCCAGTCAGCAAGCCCCCCCCCCGCCCCAAGGTCCCTTCCAGCCCTAGAACTCTATGATTCCAGCGAACCAGATCCAGGCGGCCCAAAATATATTGGGCGGGGCCTCGCATTCTAAGCAGGAGGCGTGGTCAGAGCTCAAAGCAGGAAAAGGGAGAGTGGGAGGGGTTTGCAAAGTGGGCCAAGCCAGGCACACAGTCCTTGGCCTGCCAGTTGCCCACCCTGGTTTAGAACAAACCACCAGGCCCGAAGTCCAAACCCAACTCCTTGGCTCCTATGGGTTGTCAGGATGGTCTCACCCAGCTCTGAGAGCTGACCCGGATCTTCTGAGACCGTCTCCAATTTAGTCATGAAGCTGCGGATGGCTTTGAAGGCCTGATGGAAAAGAGCAAAGGGAGAGACTCAAAAATGTGTTTTGTTTTGTTTTTTAAAGTCAACACAATCACAAGCTTCCCCACAGTTCTATAAACCAGTGGTCGCCAACCAGTGGGCCAGGGACACTGGTGGTCCGCAAGAAAATTTTGGTGGTCCGCAGAAAAATGTCCCCCCAAAGTAATTAATCCAGGTTGCGTGGGAACACAAGGCTTGCATCGCTTGCATTGTGAATAACACGAGGTAGTGAGGGGAGGGGGGAAAGGGCAGAGGGGGGGAACTTGCCCCACTTGTCCCACGCGCCTGGCCTGGCCACCGGGCTGCTACTTTCCGCTTCTTTCTTCTTCTGCTTTTGGCTGCACGCAAGGAAAGCAGCAGAAGTCTTTCTTTCTCTCCCCCAAACTCCGCCAGAAATGAGTCTTTGGGACCCTGCAAGGCCTCCCTGCTCCAAGAGGCTGTGCCGGCAAAGACTCATTTCTGGTGGAGTTTCGGGGAGAGAAAGAAAGACTTCTGCGGCTTCTGCTGCTTTCCTTGCATGAAGCCAAAAGTCTCTCCTCTCTCTCTCTCTCTCTCTCTCCCTGAGAATGGAGCTGGAGATGGTATCCTGCGATCCCAAATAAAGAATGATTGATGGGTAGGAAAACGGGGTGGGGAATTTTCCGGCAGATTTTGGGGGGATTTTCCCAGGGTCTCTGGTTCGCAGGATTTAAAATTATGAGTTTGGTGGTCCCTGAGATCCAAAAGGTTGGCTACCTATGGTTTAAACCATAGGTAGTCCTTGACTTATAGGTAGTTCACTTAGTGACTGTTCAAAGTTACAACAGCACTGAAAAAAGGGACTTATGACCGTTCCAAAAAGCAAAGTCAATGAAAGAAGCCGGATTCACTTAAAAACTGTGCCAAAAAAAAAAAGGGTCATAAAATGAGGCCTTGGGCACTAACAACCATTTCTTATAGCAATGGAAGCTCCAGTCCTCATGATGGTCGTAAGTCGAAGACTGCCTGAATTAGACTAGCCTCCCCTTTAATTTGTGGCTCCAATGCACCCAGAGATGCGGGCATTTTTATATTATTTTTCAATTATTAAATCCACAGTCCACTTTCTGGCCAATAAAGCAACTCTGGGCGTGCTTTTCCCGGCATCCTTCCTTCGGATTGGTCAAGGGCACCCCTGTAGGGGCAGAGATTCACCTGGTGGGGTGCCCCTGTGCAATAGGAGGCAAGGACGGAGCAATGGACTGGAAGAACTGGACCTGCCAATTAAGGAGAATATTTGCAGCTCGGGGTCGAAACGAGGGGTCCTTGGTGGTCTCGGAGCCGGCTTGTTTTCTTGCAGACGTTTCATTGCCCAACTAGGGAACATCATCAGTGCTAGAAGGGAGTGGGGTGTGCAGAAAGGAGGAGGAGGAAGAGGATGACGACAAGAGTGACGACGGCAACAACTGTGTGCTCCTTGGTGGTTTTCTCGCAGACGTTTCATTACCAACCTAGGTAACATCATCAGTGCTAGGAAGGAGCAAATTAACAGCAAACAGCATTCCTTTCTACCGATCGCACTGATGATGTTACCTAGGTTGGTAATGAAACATCTGCAAGAAAACAAGGAGGTTCAGAGAGCACCAAGGACCCCCTCAAGTGGGTCTACTTCCTCCGTGGACTTCAGAGATCCCCGAGGGGAGTTTGCCCCCCCCCGCTCACCTGGTCCCGGACTGTTTTTTCGGGGTCCACCGTCAAGGTGCAGAGCACCGGCAGGATTTTGAAGGCGCACTCTTTCATGGAGAAGAAATTGTGGGTGGCGGCGAAGCCCAGGACTCCAGCGGCCCGCGAGGGGGCAAAGGGGTCTTTGGTGGCCCGGCTGAAGGCCGAGATCAGTACATTCTGCCTCGTCTGTAAAGAGAAGATCCAGCAAACAGCTTGAGCTCACCTAGAACACAAAACAGCAGCAAGAAGGGACCGAGGACCCTGGCCCAGGCTGCCCCATCCTCCGCCAAGGGCAATCCTCAAGGCCTTTTTGTTGCAAGTCCTCGACTTACAGCAATTCATTTAATGACCATGCAATGTTGCAATGACACTGGGGAAAAATGATTTAATGACAATTTTTCACAGTGACAACTTTGGCAGCCTCCCCGTGGTCGCCTGGTCAAAATTCAGAAGCTTGGTGACTTGACTCATATTTATGACGGTTGCTGTGGCCCAGGGTCAGATTCCCTTCTGTGAATTCCCCAGCCAGCCTTGGCTATTTGAAGACTTCTGGACTTCAACTCCCAGAATTCCCCCAGCCGGCCTTGGCTGCCTTAAGACTTGTGGACTTCAACTCCCAGAATTCCCCCAGCTGGCCTTGGCTACTTGAAGATTTCTAGACTTCAACTCGCAGAATTCTGGGAGTTGAAGTCCACAGATCTAAAAATGGCCAAAGTTGGACATCCCTGCTGTAGAGCACCGGTCGCCAACCTGTGGGTCGCAGAGAAATCTCACCCCCAAAACACCCCCCCCCCAAAGCAATTAATCCAGGCTGTGCAGGAACACAAGGCTGCGCCGCCCACATGGCCCGCGGGAACCCTCTCCGCCCACTCACTCCTTACCCGATAAACTTGCCTGCTAAATTGCTATTTTTCCGACCATCATCTGCTCTGCTGTGCCGGGAGATTTAGATTAGCTAGAAAGCAGGAAATGGTTGGATTTCTTGCTTTCTAGCTAGTCTTTAGATCTTCGGCTCTGCTTTTAAACACAGCCTAACCTCCCTTAGGACTGAAGGTTCTATTATTCAGCGCAGATTCATGGCAAGCAAATTTGAGAGACTGAGCTAGCCAATGGCAGATAGATAGATCTCTGAATGAATCTGTGAGCAATTCAATCTGCCTGCCTGCTTTGCTTGATTTTGGGTAAAAGTTGCTCTTTTTTATAAATAAAAAATTCAATATTTATGTAAATATTTATAATATTTACATACAAGCCATGCCCAGCCAGTCACATGACCACCAAGCCACACCCACAAATTAGGCCACACCCTACAGAACCGGTTAGGGGTCCCTGGGATTTAAAATTATGTGTTTGGTGATCCCTGAGGTCCAAAAGGTTGGCAACCCCTGCTCTAGAGCTGCCCAACTTCCCACCACCTGCTCCGAAAGCCTCCCTCTGCTTCCTCTGAAGCCGTGTCCACTCACGCTGGCACTGAGGTATGGCCCAATCTTGCCCAGGCACACGGTGGTGTTGCAACGAATGGGGCCTTGGTCGTCCCGGGCCTGGAGGCGAGCAAAGTGCTTCATGACTTCCACGTTCAGGTTGGCCTCGTTCAGCTTGGGAGCCAGGAGCAGCATGGACTGTGGGGGGGAGACACAAAATGGGATCACCTTGTGGTCTTTTTTCCGCCATCTATTTTATAGCTTTAGGAAGTTAAGGGAGGCCCCTTTGGAGCCTTTTTCTGCACCTGTTATGCAGCTGAGGGCTGCGCAGTCTCTTATCCAACGGTCCCTGAAAGCTACATTAACAGTATCTTTTAATCTCCTACCGTCTCTTTTACAGTTGGAGAAATTCTTTCTTCCCCCGTTACGCAGCTCAGGGCGACGCCGTCTCTTATCTGGCAGCGTCTTTTTCATCCCGCCTCCCAAGGTCCTTCTCACATCCCCTTTGGTATAACCCTCCGCCTCCTCCTCTGCCTCACCTTCACCGTCTGCTCCCGAATGGCTGGATTGGTGTCCAGGAAGCCGTGGACCACGTGGGGGAAGATCTGGGTGTTGACCGTGGGCTCATTCAGGTACTGAATGAAGTGCTCCATCTGGAGGGGAAACGTCTGCCGTCAGTCGGTGCTCGAGCTACAAAAAGGCCTCGGCGATTTCGCTCCCTTGCTTGCACCGGGCAGGTTCACACAACCCAACGGGCCTAGGCGTCAACTCATAAAATATTTCGCTGATCTTTTTAGAGTCGCCAACAGAAAGGGAGGGGGGGGGAAGGGGTTTTGAAAGAGCAGTGCGGCAGCTTGCAAACCGAAAGCGCATTCCATCAATAGTTGTTCAAAGATAGTAACTAGGGGACTGAAGTTTCTGCCGTGCAAAATTCTAACTGGAGAGCCTGATTGATGACTCTGAGCTATGGAGGTGTCCCATTGGAGAATAGGAATTACGATACACCCAGGGGATGGGGCAAAACCAGGGCCAAGGGTGACAGTGAATGATGTGTCTCAGAGTTGGCTCCATCCAGGCAGTGCCAGACATTTTAACGCCTAATAAATCTTCTTTAAGTTTCGGAAGTTCGGCTTGAGACTGGTGATTTAAATGGGGGTAACTGCAGGAATCCTGCGCTAAAACCATGCGCTAACCCCACGGGCTGCATTAACACCATTTAATTTTTTGACTTATTTGTATCCTGGCTTTATTATTATTATTATTATTATTATTATTATTATTATTTTAAATGTCCCCGTAATCCAGGGGTACCCAACTTGTGAAGGCTGTGGCCCACTACCGGGCCACGGCCTATTCGCAACATGCACGCACGCACGCGGCCTCCCTCATTGCAAGCTTCGCGGCGCTCGGGTTCCCACTCACACAAGCTTCATGGGCGTTCAGGGCCGCACTTGTGCAATGTGTGCATGCACGCCTGCCCCTGCCCCCCCCCCAAACCATCCCTTCTTCCCCCCCACCCCCGGCTCCGGCCTGCCAACCCAGAAAGGTTGGGGAATTCTGCTGTAATCCTTTAATTCAGGGTGGGGCAAATGAGCGAGGCTGAGCATTTACTGACCAGATGTGATGCCTACATAAAGCTCACAGCAGATGTTTTCTCTCCACGCCAGAGAAACATCTGCTGCTGCCTAGGATCAAACTCACGGCCTCCCGATTGTGAGATGAGAGCTTCACCTCAAGGCCACTGTGCCCTTCACAGCCTGCCTTTATTAGTTGGATAAATAACTCAAGGCGGAGAACGTATCCTGAGGATTTGTATAATATGGGATGTAGAAGGAAGATACAAAAGATCTTGAGAGACCCTTCACATCCAGGCCACTCGTTGTTTGAGATCCTACCATCAGGAAGACGATATAGAGTGCTGAAAGCCAGGACAACTAGATTTAAACATAGCTTTTACCCAAGTGCTGTGATCAGGTTAAATGCAGAGTTATGAATCTGGTGGTCTTAACATATATATATCCTGGTTGTATAGTTTTTAACTGTTAATTGTTTTAATTTGTTTTACATTGGTATTTGTATATGTCTTTTGGTGTTGTTCAGTTGTATGTTGTGAAAGAGCACCTTATTTCGTTGTTCTCAGGTTCTGAGTACAATGACAATAAATTTATCTTATCTTATCTTATATCCAACACACCTTCCAACTTCTCCTATTTTCCCCACAACAACAACCTTGTGAGAGGGGCTGGACTGCAGAGAGGGGGGGGGGACTGGCCCTTAGTCTCCCAGCTGGCTTTGATGCCTAAGGCAGGACCAGAACTCAGTGTCTCTTGATGATTGGTCCAAAGTCACCCAGCTGGCTTTCATGTCTAAGGCAGGACTAGAACTCACCATCTCCTGTTTCCTAGCCTGGTGCCTTAACCACTAGACTAAACCGACTCTCTATGTACTACGCTCCCAACTTCTTCTCAAAGCACGCAAGTATTATGTGCGCAGCTCTATAAATTTGTTTAGTAAATAAAAATACAACCTTCTGATGCAAAATAAGAAGCACCCAAAGGGAAGAAAAAAAAACAGAGGTTCATTGTTCTTTTTTTTTTTCTTGCTTTCCAGTGGAGAATAAGATTCTCACAAATGCTTGTCTGGTGCATTTACCTCTCCTTGGGGTTGCACAATTCTGCACCAGAGTTGTTTCCAAATTTGGCGATTTCAGGGATTTCAACTGCCAGAATTTTCCAACCAGCATGTGCCAAATAGTGGGGATGGACTAAATGGCCTCCAAGTCCCTTTCAAATTTCATGAGTCTAACACTTAATTCGTAAATAGGACACCGTGCAGCATGCTGGCTGGGGAATTCTAATTTAAACTGGGTTGAAGTAGCCGCAGCTATAACTTTAGCAGGCCAGCATGAGTTGGATGGGCGTCTGGTAACCCCCTTTTTTTCAAGCCAGTAAAACAATTATTAAAAAATGCAATAAAAACAAAAATTGTTATTCAAAAGCAGAAAAGGAGAGTCCCGACTGGGTGACTTGCAGTATTCCTTTAAGGCCCATTGATTTCAATCGCGTAACCGTGCAGGACTCAATCTATGGGTCAACTCATAAAACATTTCTAGGCCTGGTTTAGGGTTGCCGTGAACACAAGGGAAGGGGGGGAGAAATTTGAAAGAGCAGAGCATCAGTTTGGAACCGAAAGTGCATTCCACTCTTATCTTGCAAAGATTGTAACTAAGCTACCGGATTTTCTGCCTCTCTAATTGGAGAATGTGATGGATGGCTCTCTCCTCTACCTATGAACGTGTTTCTGTTGGAGAATATGAATTATGATACACGCAGAGGGGTGCAGGGAGACCAGGGTCAAGGGGGACAGGGAATTACGTGTCTCAGAATCGGCTTTATACAGGTCATACCATGTTCGCTCCTAATAAATCCTTTTGAAGTTTTTGAAGTTTGGCTCGAGGCTCATGGTTTAATGAGGGCAACTGCCGGAATCCTGACACTAGGGCTCTATTTAAAAAGGAAGAGCCAAGGACACACAACTATGTCCTCTCTCTTAACAAATCCACAATCCCAAACGCAACTATTTGTGATTTGGACACCAGCCAACCTGTTGCAGCAAACGGATCCTCATGGCCCGATCCGGGGAAGAGAACATCTTCACAATGACGGGGATGATTTTTTGCTGGTATTCCTGGCTGTTCAAAAATTTCCCCACCTGGAAAAGGGGAAAAGAAAAGCAAGGGAAGGAGAGAGAGAGAGAGAAAGGGAGGATTTCTAATTAAGCATCTTGAATATACACAACAGGTTGTTTATTTGTATCAGAAGCATCACAATTGAAATAAGTCATACTGCATGACATAAAAATTTTAAAAAATAAATAAATTTAAACTATAAAATATGAGATATGTCCAAATTAAGCAGATCTTGACCAAATTAAGCAAGGTCTGCTTAATCTTCTATATATCTTCTACATATATAATATAAGTCTCATTCGTCATCTTCAGGCTTGTGTCTTCGGCTTTGTGCTTTACTCCGAGAAGCACAAAGCCGAAGACACAAGCCTGAAGATGACAAATGAGACTTCGTCGAAACGTCTACAAACTTGAAATTTGGCCCATATGTTCCTCTTGGCTTCTAGGGGCTCACTAAGAAAGGATTTTTCGAAATGACCATCAGAACCTTAGTATTTCCTATATTATTACTATTATTATTAACCGGCTCTGATGCTAAGGAGTTCTACTCCCCTTCCCCACATGAAAAGAAATCTGCTCTTCCAAATGCAAAAAACAAGCAGAGGAGAGGAGTTTCAGTTTCACAGCACCAAGCAGCTTTAGTACAGAACGGTTGAGCTAAGCCAAGCCCAGGCTCCTTGCTGTCTCCTCCTTGCTCACATAACGAATACTGTTTCAGTTTCCAAACAGCCCTCAACTCTCTCACACAGTGATAGGATGCTACCCAGATGAATAGCAATGGATGCTGGTAGGCAGAGGCAGAATTTTTCCCCCCTTATTTTCCTCCCCAAAAACTAAGCCCGACCACATAGTTTCGTTGCGAAGCATGGGGATTGAGCTAGTTTGTACATATCTTGTATTTTATAGTCGGAAAAAGGCTCAGGTTTTTTTTTTGTATTTAAACTTGCAACACAAATTGCATTCTGTCACACTTCCATTAGATCTTCAAGTATACATCGATTGAAGCAAAAAAAAAAAATCAGCAAAGATACACAGGTGGCTAAAAAAGATGATAGGGGAAACATGTAGATTTTAAATCTGAATTGTTTTTATTAGGCATAATATCAGAAAAAATTGATAAGAAAAGTATGTATTTAACATTACATGTCTTAACAGCAGCAAGGATTATATTCACACAATAGTAGAATCAAGAAGAAACACCCCAAGATGAAGAGATAGTCAGGAAGATACTAGATTGTGCAAAAATGTTGACATTGGAAATTAAACAGAAAGAAAATGTAGAATGTTATCAAACATGGAATTTATTTTACTGATGGTTGGAAAAAAGGGGTGGAGATTAAGAATGCAAATTTGTATTGTTAAGTAAATTAAACACCCAGACAACCCGATGTTTAATAAGCACTAAGAAATATATTTAAGGCTAGAATTTGTGTGGGATTTTGAAATACGCTTCCAGGATTGATTAAATATTGTTACTATTTGGTGTATTTGGAATATTGAAGTTATGGTGGAACTATGAATAATTCTTAAAAAAATATTAAATAATAGTATTTAGGGACTATAAATACAGGACGCAAAGAAATGTTTCATTTATGTTTAAATGAACTAATGGGAAAATGAGAAATTTAGTTTAAGTTTAGTTTATTGTCATTGCACCTTGTACAGCGAATTAAATACTATCTTCAGTGTACATTATGACTATGACAATAAAGCACAAACACACATCCTTCACATTCTATGCATTGAACTGAACACCCCTGATATTGCATTAATATTGCACTAGACAGTAGAATTCAATAGAGTTACTGCCCTGGGGTAAAAGCTGTTTTTCAGCCTATGGATTATCAAATGGATAATCAAATGGATTATGAAAAGAGAATAGCATTGTTGAAGTTGTGGAAGATTAGAATTGCACATACTGTCATGCCCCTGTTGGAGTCTGACTCCAGACAGAGAGATGGAACAGCTGACAGGGAGTG